TCCACACATTGATACACATTGCATTGAAAACACAAAAGTCGTTCGCCTGAAAGACCACAGAAGTGCATTTAATTGTTTGTGCTTGCAATCAGGTAAGGCCATTTGAGCCAACGTGTTTTCCATGTGTAGAATTCACATCACGTCCAACTGTTGCAGGCATTGGCCTGGGAGCAGAGAAACTTGAAGGAGCCCACAGCTTCTTCAGTACAGCCTGAGGCACTTCGATTTAAGTCAAAAGCAAGAACTTTTAAGGCTGCTAAGTGTGTTGTTTCATTGCTTCTGTGTAGAAGCCACAAACTGCTCCTGCAGAGTTTGATATGTCTTGACTTTGCCTCGAAGTAGCTGATGGTGCAGTGATTCGCGGGGCTTTCTCCTTGGCATTGGATGTGTGGCAACACTACTTGAAGGACTACACTGTAACGAATAAATTCCGAACCACAGAGTTTTCCGCAAGCAGTGCCAGATTTGGTGTTCGCATGTGTTTACCTATTTTTTGGACCCGGTTCACCTGATTAATTGTGTGGCTTTGCCAGGAAACTTGTGTTCAAATGCTTTCAAGTTTCATGTCAGTTGGAAAGTTTGTCGCAGACAGGTTCCAGCCTTCCCTCAGCCGCCTCAGCCGCCGTGCAACATTGCCGCTATGCAGGCAGAGGTCGGGATTGTTCAATCGAGATCATTGGAAAGATCGCATAATGTGCAGAAGTTGGAGTCTGTTCAAGTGCAGGTGGAAGCACCTTTGGAACGACATTGGCATGTTTGCTTAACTTCACACATTGATACACACTGCATCTAAATCACAAAAGTGGTTCGCCTGAAAGACCACGGAATGCGTTTCATTGTTTGTGCTTGCAATCAGGTAAGACCATTTGAGCCAACGTGCTTTCCATTTGTAGAATTCACATCACGTCCAACTGTTGCAGGCATTGGCTTGGGAGCAGAGAAACATGAAGGAGCCCACAGTTTCTTTGGTGCAGCCTGAGGCACTTCGATTTAAGTCAAAAGCAAGAAGTGCTAAGGCTGCTAAGTATGTTGTTCAATTGCTTCTGTTTAGCTGATGTTGCGGTGATTCGCGGGGCTTTCTGTTTGGTATTGGATGTATGGCCACACTACTTGAAGGACTACACTGTAACGAATAAATTCCGAACCACGGAGTTTTCCGCAAGCAGTGCCAGATTTGGTGTTCGCATGTGTTTACCTAGTTTTGGACCTGGTTCACCTAACTAATTGTGTGGCTTTGCCAGGAAAATTTTGTTCAAATGCTTTCAAGTTTCATGTCAGTTGGAAAGTTTGTCGCAGACAGGTTCCAGCCTTCCCTCAGCCGCCTCAGCCGCCGTGCAACATTGCCGCTATGCAGGCAGAGGTCGGGATTGTTCAATCGAGATCATTGGAAAGATCGCATAATGTGCAGAAGTTGGAGTCTGTTCAAGTGCAGGTGGAAGCACCTTTGGAACGACATTGGCATGTTTGCTTAACTTCACACATTGATACACACTGCATTTAAATCACAAAAGTGGTTCGCCTGAAAGACCACGGAATGCGTTTCATTGTTTGTGCTTGCAATCAGGTAAGACCATTTGAGCCAACGTGCTTTCCATTTGTAGAATTCACATCACGTCCAACTGTTGCAGGCATTGGCTTGGGAGCAGAGAAACATGAAGGAGCCCACAGTTTCTTTGGTGCAGCCTGAGGCACTTCGATTTAAGTCAAAAGCAAGAAGTGCTAAGGCTGCTAAGTATGTTGTTCAATTGCTTCTGTTTAGCTGATGTTGCGGTGATTCGCGGGGCTTTCTGTTTGGTATTGGATGTATGGCCACACTACTTGACGGACTATGCTGTAACAAATATATTCTGAACCACGGAGTTTTCCGCAAGCAGTGCCAGATTTGGTGTTCGCATGTGTTTACCTAGTTTTGGACCTGGTTCACCTGACTAATTGTGTGGCTTTGCCAGGAAAATTTTGTTCAAATGCTTTCAAGTTTCATGTCAGTTGGAAAGTTTGTCGCAGACAGGTTCCAGCCTTCCCTCAGCCGCCTCAGCCGCCGTGCAACATTGCCGCTATGCAGGCAGAGGTCGGGATTGTTCAGTCGAGATCATTGGAAAGATCGCATAATGTGCAGAAGTTGGAGTCTGTTCAAGTGCAGGTGGAAGAACAAAATGAAACTGGACTTTGGCATGTTTGCTTACCTCCACACATTGATACACACTGCATCTAAATCACAAAAGTGGTTCGCTTGAAAGACCACAGAAATGCATTTAATTGTTTGTGCTTGCAATCAGGTAAGACCATTTGAGCCAATATGCTTTCCGTTTGTAGAATTCACATCACATCCAACTGTTGCAGGCATTGGCTTGGGAGCAGAGAAACTTGAAGGAGCCCACAGCTTCTTCAGTACAGCCTGAGGAACTTCGATTTAAGTCAAAAGCAAGAACTTTTAAGGCTGCTAAGTGTGTTGTTTCATTGCTTCTGTGTAGAAGCCACAAACTGCTCCTGCAGAGTTTGATATGTCTTGGGTTTGCCTCGAAGTAGCTCATGTTGCGGTGATTTGCGGGGCTTTCTGTTTGGTATTGGACGTATGGAAACACTACTTAACGGACTACGCTTTACGAAGGAATTCTGAACCACACAGTCTTCCGCAAGCAGTGCGAGATTTGGTGTTCGCATGTGTTTGCCTATTTTTGGACCCGGGTCACCTGATTAATTGTGTGGCTTTGCCAGGAAAATTGTGTTCAAATCCTTTCAAGTTTCATGTCAGTTGGAAAGTTTGTCGCAGACAGGTTCCAGCCTTCCCTCAGCCGCCTCAGCCGCCGTGCAACATTGCCGCTATGCAGGCAGAGGTCGGGATTGTTCAATCGAGATCATTGGAAAGATCGCATAATGTGCAGAAGTTGGAGTCTGTTCAAGTGCAGGTGGAAGCACCTTTGGAACGACATTGGCATGTTTGCTTAACTTCACACATTGATACACACTGCATTTAAATCACAAAAGTGGTTCGCCTGAAAGACCACAGAAGTGCATTTAATTGTTTGTGCTTTCAATCAGGCAAGACCATCTGAGCCAACATGCTTTCCGTTTGTAGAATTCACATCACGTCCAACTGTTGCAGGCATTGGCTTGGGAGCAGAGAAACATGAAGGAGCCCACAGTTTCTTTGGTGCAGCCTGAGGCACGTCGATTTCGTCAAAAGCAAAAATCGTCCGCTCTCTTCATTCCAATGTGGCTTTGGTGAAGTGCACCTTGCATCTTTTTGGGTTGTAATGAGCAAACCGTTTTTCAATGAGTTTGCCATAATGATGAGGATGACATTGAAGTGGCTTGAGAGCTTGCTTGTTTCTGCTGGCATGCGACTGACTAGGTTTGTGAATAAATTCTGAACCGCAGAGTTTTCCGCAAGCAGTGCCAGATTTGGTGGTCGCATGTGTTTACCTATTTTTGGACCTGGTTCGCCTGACTCTAGTTTTGTGGCTTTGCCACGCTTTGCCAGGAAAATTGTGTTCAAATGCTTTCAAGTTTCATGTCAATTGGAAAGTTTGTCGCAGACAGGTTCCAGCCTTCCCTCAGCCGCCTCAGCCGCCGTGCAACATTGCCGCTATGCAGGCAGAGGTCGGGATTGTTCAGTCGAGATCATTGGAAAGATCGCATAATGTGCAGAAGTTGAAGCAGGTTCAAGTGCAGACAGCAGCACGTTTCATCAAAAGTCGTGGGAGGTCAAGGAAGTGCAGGTGGAAGCACCATTGGAACAAAATGAACCTGGACTTTGGCTTGAACTCCACACATTCCATCTTAAAACACAAGTGGTTCGCCTGAAAGACCACAAAAGTTCATTTAATTGTTTGTGCTTTCAATCAGGTAAGACCATCTGAGCCAACATGTTTTTCATGTGTAGAAGTCACATCACATCGAACTGTTGCAGGCATTGGCTTGGGAGCAGAGAAACATGAAGGAGCCCACAGTTTCTTTGGTGCAGCCTGAGGCACTTCGATTTAAGTCAACAGCAAGAATCGTCCGCTCTCGTCATTCCACTATGGCTTTGTTGAAGTTCACCTTGCATCTTTTTGGGTTGTAATCAGCAAGCCGTTTTTCAATGAGTTTGCCATAATGATGAGGATGACATTGAAGTGGCTTGAGAGCTTGCTTGTTTCTGCTGGCATGCGACTGACTAGGTTTGTGAATAAATTCTGAACCACAGAGTTTCCGCAAGCAGTGCCAGATTTGGTGGTCGCATGTGTTTACCTATTTTTGGACCTGGTTCGCCTGATTCATTGTGTGGCTTTGCCGGGAAAATTTTGTTCAAATGCTTTCAAGTTTCAGGCTGATCGAAAAGCATGTTGCACACAGGTTCCAGCCCTTCCTCAGCCACCTCAGCCCCCTGTAACATGAATCAATTTCAATCATCATTGTCCCTAAGAAATGGCTACGATTGGCCGCATACCCTATTTTCAGATTAACCCATCCATCTCTATATCAACATGATTTCGATATGGCCAGTTTGGCCCAAAGCAGAGATCTTCTGCCTCAAATTCTGCATGCGTGTTCCCATGATCTTGAAGCTGAGGTCAATTCCGATACCTCTGTGATTGTAATTGTGGGTCTTGTCCCCCGTTTACCAGTCCACCAGAATCTTTACTTCGCGCTGTATTTTCCCATACTACGGCTTTGTTTCGGTGTATTTGAGACCCCTCGGGTGCGGGTTGAGAGAACACTCATTCACAGGAAGGGGAAGAACAAACTGCTGGGATGCTTGTAGGGTACCTCAGTGATGCGCGGTGCAGCGATTTGGAACTTGAGAGCAGAGTTCTAGCTTCATATGTTTACACAATATATATATATATATGTATGTATGCATGCATGCATGTATGCATGTATGTGTGTGTATGATGTAATGTATGTCATGTATGTCATGTATGTAATGTATGTAATGTATCTAATGCATCTAATGTATCTAATGTATCTAATGTATGTAATGTATGTAATGTATGCATGCATGCATGGCATGGTATGGCATGGCATGGCATGGCATGGTATGGTATGTATGTAATGTATGTAATGCATTTCATGTATGAAATACATGGAATGTAATGTAGTGTAATGTAATGTAATGTAATGTGATGTAATGCATTGTAATGTAATGTAATGTCATGTAAAGCAATGTAACGTAATGTAACGCAATGCAATGTAGTGTAACGTAATCCAATGTAATGTAATGTAACGCAATGTAATGTAATATAATTTGATGTAAATATGTATGTATGGATGTATGTATGTATGTAATGTTTGTTTGTTTGTTTGTATGTATGCATGCATGCATGTATGTAATGTATGTCTGTCTGTCTGTCTGTCTGTCTGTCTGTCTGTCTGTATGTATGTATGTATGTATGTATGTAATGTATGTATCTAATGTAATGTAATGTATTGTAATGTAATGTAATGTAATGTAATGTAAGCATGTATGTATGTGTGTATGTATGTATGTATGTATGTATGCATGGATGTATGTATGTATGTACGTATGTACGTATGTACGTATGTACGTATGCACGTATGCATGTATGGATGTATGGATGTATGGATGTATGGATGTATGGATGTATGGATGTATGGATGTATGGATATATGGATATATGGATAATATGTATATAATGTAATTTAATTTAATGTAATGTAATTTAATGTAATGTAATGTATATGTATATGTATATGTATAGGTATATGTATATGTATATGTATATGTATGTACCCATTTGACATCAATCATCCAGCCAAACAGTGTTCTTTATGTTTTGAGATAGACTCAAAGCAACACACAAGTCCAGCAAATGGTGAAGCTACTCCCAAAAACCATACCCCATGTCCTCAATAACTCATTTATTTGGTGTGGTTTAATCGTTGCGTATTTAATACATCTTACCAATAAAACTTTGATTTGTCATTGGATTTTCAGCTTAATAGTCTCATCCTTCATAGAGTTGCTTGATGTCCCTGCCAGTTATCCCCAGGATGCACCCAACGAGGCCGAGGCGGCCGAGGCTTCGGCTTCGGAGGTGGCTCTCGGACCGTTGCATCTTAGGTCACTACGTTGTTGGAATCCATGGCTATTTCCTTGGGAAAGATGAGCAAGTTACCAACGAAGAATGAGATGTGACGAGTGAGAAGCCCATCCAACTGTTTTTGAAACAATCTGGGGGCGCATTGGAATCAAGAGACAGGGTCCTCAGCTTCAGAATGGCACCCAGTTGATCGAGCACAGCTGGCAGGACGAAGATGATGTGCCCCTCTCGGAAATGATCAGCTGCCAACAGGTGCCAAAACAGACAATGTGGATCAATGTGGTAAACCCAATGCCATAAACCTATAATTATGAACCTACCATGACTGGGGATGGTTAATAGCAAAAAAATGATGATATTGGGGATGGTTTATACTTGGATTTATCACATTGGAAACAAGTATTCTGAGACACGTTGTGTCATCTCCAGCGAGTGGACAGCCCAAGAGAAAGACACATAGCCTGGATGTTCCTTGACTTTCCTGGCTGGAAATTTGTTGAGATCCATGCAGACAATGAAAACCATCAACCATGAAAATGATATCCAACCATACAAAAACCATGAAAACGTCTGAAAACTCTCTGGGCGCAACTTCGAGTGAGTCAAAACGTTATCCGCTTCGGGAATTGATTTAACAAAGTAAACCAAGAGCCTCTGGTCACCCCATGCTGAAAGGAGCAAGATGATTTGCCCCTGTCGGAAATGGTGAGCAAGGTTCCCGGGACAAACAAGTTGGAGTTCCTTTCGGTATGGTTAACAGTTTCCCTGATATGGATTGATATGGTGATGGTGAAATTGGGCAAATAGGCTACGTTTTTTCTGGCAATCTCGTCATCATTGGCGAAATGGGTAGTCTCAGTGGCATAGAGTAGCGGAATCATGTGTGGGTTGCCGAAGATGGGTTCGGGTCGTTTGCAACGGTACTTTTGCGCGATTCAGATTTGCATCAAACTGTGTGAGCCCCACTTGTCCCCAGAGTGGGTGTCCCATGTTGTCCGTGTTTGGGGGAAGCGACCCAGCGCAGGGTTCCCACCATTGAGAAATTGCCCTAGTTTAAGAGGTCATAGCGCCCTGGTTGAAGTATTTTGCAAAGACACAAGACGTAGAAGAAAAGGCATCTAGAACATCACGCACTGATTCTTCGATTCGTAAGATGCAGTTAGTGAAACATAGCGAAACACAGTGAAACTGTTGCATGGTGCTTTCATTTCATGTTCAAAGAAAACAGCGGTGCCCTTGCTGCTTCCACAAGCGCCGTCAGGCGAGTGCGAAGCCACCTCGAAAGCGGGCGAGACGAAGTCCCTTCGCTGAACCGCTGGGAGATAGGGCGCTAAAACGCAGGTTAGGATTTTGAGCGGGTTAATCTTCCGATTTTTTCTGGTGTTCTTTTAATAGATCATGAGGATCGTCCATGAACATTTTTTCATAGTGGATTGGGGCACCGGTTTCTTGAGATTCCAAGCCAATTGCTTCAAGTCAAAACGATCTTTTTTTTAGCGACAGTGAGGCCAGGCAACAGCCTTTTTCGAGGTTGTTTCCTGGTACTTGTTCAATTTATCTCTGATATTCTGATGTACTTTCAAGCTGGTTAGAAAAATCGAGGACCTTTTGGCCCCCCTAGTCAGAAATCATTTTGAAGAATTGCTGCCATAAAAGATGTCGAAAGACAACCTGCATGTATTTCTTCAGATTTCGAAAGGCGCCTCGAAGTTGCACCAATGTCGTCTTTGAAGCATCTTTGTCCTTATCATATTTTTTATACGTCCTATAGACTAGATAGATATCCTACACATGCATCTGTTGCCATCGCAGGCAGCGGCGCCACACACCCACAGGTGTCGATGAGGTGTGGGGGGTGAAAAGATGTGGAAAAATGGTAGGTGAAATTTGAAACTTGGTGAAAATGTGGTCATTGAATGGTTACACCAACGAATTCATGGGCTTTAAACATGTTTTTGACGGGTTATGAATTCCATTTGCGTGGTGTGCGGAAGTATGTGGTTTCAAAGCGGGATGCTCACCATCCGTCAATCATCATCATCCCACTGGTCGCATGGGATCTTCCGATGCATGGTCCTGGTAACAAGCTGAACAGTGACCTCCAAGCGGGGAGGCATCAAAATGGCCTTTGTTCATCGTGATTTTGCTTCTATTCAGTATATTGAGCTGTTTTTGGCAACTGAGGTGGAGCAAGATCTGCTGCATTGTTGAATAAAGTACTGGTGCCGGTGGTTTGGAATGATTGACTCACTTGGTGACCTTCAGTTTCAATGAGCTTGGAGAAAAGAATCAGATGACCAAGTGCGCAATCACCCCACTGGTAGCAGAGAACAGCCGGCTGCAAGGTTGCCGTTGACCTTTGGGAAACGCCATGTGGAAAACCAGAGGATGGATGTGCCACTCACATCCAAAGCTTCCTATTTGGACTCCAGGCTGCAAAGAAGTGTACATGTTGCACGCATCAAAAAAAAAACAGAAAGAGGTTGCATCAATATTTCAGCATCCAGATGTGACAAGATATACATAAATTGTATAGATATATATACTACACACTCCTCAGTCTCAATATAAGTCTGGCATGGTTTCACCATTTATGATGTGGATAATAAGTTGTGCCTGGAGCTTGTGCACAACCTCAGTTGCACTGGTGGCCTGTAGTGGAACACCAGCATCAAACCTTCAACATCCACCCAAACCACCCCACCAGCTCGGATATGTGGGGTATGGTGTATGAGACTATATTTTGCAAGAACACTAGCAGGTTGCTCACTGTTCCTTCTGGTTCTTTTTGCTTGGCAGGATTAATCGGTTTTTGTTGTTGAATGATTTTGAAGAATACCCATTCTTAGATCCATCTTGTGGCAGAAAGAGAATCTGGGATGTTTTCAACCCTTGCCATTGAAAGGAACAACTTCCACCTGCCTTGCTGCCAACACAAAAACAAGCAAGGGAGTATCAACCACCTCGAACACCTTCACGGTTTCAAATACCTTTCCGATGTCCATGCCTATTAAGGATTTTTACCTGTGAAGCAGGTTTGAAATTCTACATTCTAGGACAAACCACTGTATGGCTGGTAGAATCATTGAACAGAGGCTGGATTGGGGCAACTCGTCTGGTTTCCGCGCTCCTCGCAGCTCAGGAATACTTTGAGCAAGCATTGGTCTCGGACGCTTGTTGCAGATGTGCCTCAAAAAGGGTGGTATTAAAAGCAAACCCCATCTTCTATGGAACGGGCAGAATATGTTGATGAGGGAAAACTGCAAGGACTATTATGTGTGGACCCTTCAAACCGGCTGAATTTACACGACAAGATCAAGGTATCAAGTATCAAGTGATAGATTGGCTTCTGTTAGTCCATTGAACTATAGTTATTCATCCCAAAAAAGCAAGAGTGAGTCGTATGAGTGAACTTCAACGACTTTGCCAATCAACTCACAGAATTGGATGGGAAAAAAGTACAGGAAACCATGGACCGTCCTATGAAATATGGGACGTTCCGGCTTTCCTGTAAATTTTCCCTTGAACCAGACCGTTGAACTGTCAATCTCCATTGGTTGTGAGTTAGCGGTCAATATCCATCCAGCACCAGGAGATGCAGCAGCACCTCAGCGCCTGGTCCGTTTCCGGCCGCTGCCGTGATGGGAACGCCTTGCGGGTGGAGGAAGTGCTGCTTGGCCCGGCCAAGGCCTGCGGTGAAAAACGTCAGAAAATCTGTGGTTGTTTTTAAAGTTTGGGTGGCAAAAATGGATGCAACTCCCACAAGAATGGTGGTTTTATGGGGATGTGAACCGTTGACCAACCAGTTTGCAGGAATATAATATGAGTTTGTTTGAAATTTGGGTACCAAAATGTCAGACTAGCATAGACTAGCCATATATGGGATGTAGACTTATGAAAACGACAAATGGATGGTTCCGTATGGTTGGGGAATACATTGCTGCTTGCCTGACTTTAGTGTTTTTGTGGGAGGATAATCGATTTGTAGTGAGGGGTACTTGGAACGCGACGTGCCTTCATTTGAATGATGGGAATCTCTTACGAACAGAACGGCCACATGGCGTCGTGGTGGAGTTAAGCTATCCGCTGTGGTAGACTTGAGTATACCCTGATGTTCGTCCCACTTCGGTTTTATCTGTAGCTGAGTTCAGCTAAAAAATAGTGGCTACCGGCAATTTACCATAGGTTTCTGCTAACCGTGATTTGGACCATAGATTTGAGCCGAAAGACGATTCGTCACAAACGAAAGTGACCTCCACTAGAGGTCCCACTCATTCGCTTCAGTGGTTCAGTGGTTCAGTTTCCTTTCAAAAACACATTGAAACATTTGAAACATCTTCAAAAAAGACTTGGCTTCTGTATGTTTCTGCCGGATACCTCCTATGATCTATGGCCACGATCTCTCCATGCTTTCATCCAGGAAGATGCCGCTTTCGCTGCCATGCTCTTCAATCGAGCCAAGCTTCGTCAAGGCCGAAGTGATGGTAAGATCGACCGAAGAACACCACCTGTAGATGGAATGGGTGAGCCATGGATCAGAACTTTTGAAATACAAGGTATCAAGAGTTTGGACAGCTGCCCATATACTATAGATTCTATAGATGCACGTATATGCTAGTTTCTGTAAGATTTGTCCCAGCGTCACGTTGTGGCAATGATCTGAAACCCTGAAAGTGAACTTGGCTTTGCTCATCGATTCAGCTATTATCTGGTTATCGAAATTATAAAAACTAGATGCAACCGCCAATTGCCTTTTGAGTTGTCAAGCTACCGTCCAAGTTCATGACACATTACCTTAAATGTGATCATCCGAAGTGGCTTTCAGATTTTCCTTGCTTTTCAAGAACTTGTCCGAGGCAGAAAATTCCAGCAAGACCCATATATTTGGGCGTAAAAACTAGGGAAGTTTCTTGTAGATGTTTCCTTTAAACCAAGCCATTGAAACCTCAGCAACGTTGGCTTCCCAATTATTTCCCCATAATCATCCTATAATCATCTTCTAATGCTTGTACCATAATCATCCGTTAACAATTCCCTTCATATCCCCGTATCCATATCCTTGCGCACTAGATTTCCGCTACCAGGACAGCTGACTTCCTGCGCCAAGAACGACTTGTGGGTCGTGTTGCAAGGCTTTGGTGATGCCCTGCTCTTCCGGTCCCTGTGGAAAGGAGTTTCTTGGTGCCACAGATGGGACCTGTCATGGTTGTTCTCGTGGTGGGGGGGGTACCCTCTAGTAGTTTAAAGCGGCTATGGAAAATCACTATGTTTAAAAGGTTAAGCATCATAAATAGTTATAAATTGGCAATTTCCCATGGCTATGTTAAATAACCAATGAGTATAAGCAACGAAGACTAGGGAGTTAACCCACCAGTTGATGAGGATATTTTCTGGTTATGGGAATAGAAGCAACAATATGGGGAGGCGTTGAAACCACCCTGTTTGAATGAGGATGGGGATGCAATTCGGACGGTAATTGGCAATGTGATATGGCTTGAAACGGACATGATGTTAATACTTTGTTTGTAGTGGTTATGCCAACTAGTTGATGGGGAACTGATGGATTGCAGTTTATCGGATTGTTGTTTAAAAATGCAGTATGCCAAAAAATCCAATGGATGAAACTTTCATGTTCTCTTCTTATTGAATAAACTAGCCCAGTTATGGACAACCAGTGCCTTCACCTAGCGGCTCATGAGAATCCTTGCCATGGTCAGATATGATTTTTATTGAGGATCTCAAACCCCCGCGGCGTCGTTCAGTGGTTATACAACCCAATGTTTCTAAGTACTTCTATACTTATAGAATCTTATAGATTGATGTTTATATGACGTTTTGCCCCATTTATATCATGAATAGCACGATGTCTATGCATACTGTCCATTTCGAAGACTTCACCATGAGGTCACGCCCAAGGGCCGCTTACTTTGCGCCCCGGTGAATGAAGCTGCTGTTCAATGGCTGCAGCAGAGCAACAGGTGGGGACGGCAGCAGAAAGGGCGGATGCAATATTAGCGCTGAATGAAGGAAAGTACCCAAAAACATTGTATGATGTTTGATTTGGGAATTGTTTTGCACACACGAATGCTTTCGAGCACGGAATTGAGGGTGGTTTGCAACAAGATATGGGTCAATCTGTAGGACTGTACCCTCCAGTTGTGGACAGACATCCACTTCATGGCCAAAATCTGGCACTACCGCACTAGTGGAACAGTAGGGGTCCCACCAAATCCATGAAAATGTTGTTGATTGAAATGCCAGAATCTGTATCCATTCCTTTTGCTCTATGTCCAACATATATCCATTTTTCGCTGGCCCCAATTAGGGTCCAGTTTGGCATAGATAAATTGGGTCTCTGACTGTATCAATTCATTCCTGGACCATCCCTGTATCAGGGAATAATTGATGTACATTTAAGCCTTCCTCATGAAAACAAACACCCCGGTCACCGAAACCCTGCTTGGAATGTGGCAGATTTCTTCGTCCGGGATTTTCAGCAATTCATGGGAGGATTGGATTGTTGCATTCTGGGGTCTGTCACAAAATGTCGTGGTTATCACCAATATCATGAAAGAGCCCTGGGATACTCCTCAAAGGGCTACTCCTAAAAGTTGCTATCCTTGCCCAAAAAAAATCCGAAAAAAAGAACAAAAATTCAAGAAAATATCAAAAAACAATTGAAAAAAACAATCCACGCATTCCAAAACGAATTCCAAAAAAAAGACACAGAAAAAGAAACAGGAAAAAACAGAACAAATTCCACACAAAAAACAAACCAAAATTGAAATATTCAAAAACAAAAACAAAAAGTGAACGAAAAAATCGAAAAACACAATTAAAAAAAACAGAAAATGCAACACACAATCAAAATAAAAATGCAAAATAAAAATGTGTAAAATAAAATTAAATACAAATGAAAATAAAAAACAGAAAAAAAACACACATACTAAAATAACAACAAAAAACACAAAAAAACAAAAAGAGCATTTAAAAAACAAAAGCAAATCGAAATTTAAAAAAGCACCAAATCTTGAAATCATCATTTGAAAAAAACTTTAAAGAAAACATGAACGAAAAAGTGTTTTTTGGAATGAAAAACAATTATTTCGAATGAAATTGAATTATTCGGAATGAAATTGAAATATTTCGAATTAAAATTAATAAAAAGGAATGTTCCAGGAGTGTCCCTATGAGGAATGTCCCTCTCCATAGAGAAGACAATAAATGTTTATCAATTGGTAGAATTTCTATAGGTAGAAAGTATGACGAAGACGCCCCTACTTCAGGCAGTTCCAGTTGATTTGTGTGTTTCCTGCCATGGTTATGGAGGTAAAATCCGAATGTATCGGAGAAAAATCGTCCCCGCCCTCGAGGCTCAGAAGCGTCACGGCCCTTTGCTCTGGCGCCTTCAGTAGTGAGTTGTTGCAGGCAGGATCCAATGCAGCTGTGAATAGTGTCTTCTGGAATTTGATGCCCCAACAAAAAATATCGCAACGTGTTCAGTGAAACTCAAATATGGCAACTCCCAAGAGGTGCTTCAGAATGGTTATTCAAGACGTTCCAGTCCCCAGCCAAGGTAGACACGCTGCGACACTGGGCTGCAGCTCAAGATGATGTCTGTGCACATTTGTTTGGCCTCGAGGCCAGCTGGGCATCATTTGAACGGATCCAAATTTGTCTGAAAAATCCATGGTTTATCATGATTTAAATGATGATAATCCATTGTTTTTCATGGTTTGCAACCCTAAAACCCACTTGTTTATCTTCATTTTCCAATCGGTGGCCATACACATTGGGATCAGCATCTTCAAGCTTTAAAGCTGCTTTTACACCGGATAAGACTGTCCACCTGATGTGCACATGCACCATTGCGAGCCCCCAATCTCTGCAACGCTTCATCGTGCCCAGGTCCACAAGACCTCTTCATGTTGGAAAATGTCGGTTATGCCAGTAGGATTCTCTTTGTAAACTCGCCCCAACTCCCAAAATCAAATTTGTTTAGTTTCTGCAATACATTTGGAGGGATCCCAACTTTTTGGCTCCCAATCAGGTATGATTGGAATCGATAAATCATGACATATCGTATCCCCATCATACCCCCAATATTACTATGATATTGATATCCCCAATATATTCTCATTATATACCCTCACGTCATCCCCCTTATGTTTCCATGATGTCCCCAGGAATAAGAACCTGGACCGTGCCAAAAACAACCGCAGGCTGCAGCGGATGTCGTGGAGCCAACTCGCATGCCATGTGATGTCGTTCCCGATGCCGTTGAGTTGAGCCAGGAACAACAGGAGGCCGCGATGGAACAAAGTGGACAGCTGAAAAAGTGCGATGTCATATTAATGGTATGTTCTGTTTAATGATATCCTGACATTTATATGTTCGTCAGTGTATCAACAATGGCATATAAAGCCAACAATAATGGTGATATCATGCTGATATGATGGGAAAATCACGGCAAAGTAACAGGAAAATTATGTGAATAGGATGGGAATATCATGGGAACATCATGGGGATATCATGGGAATACTTCGAGGATCATCCCTCGATTCAGTGATTGGTAAGCCTGGTTAGTACGTTCCCGATTTGCGGCTTATCAAGGGATATACCTACCGTTCCACTAAGGTGATCCTCCAGGTAGATCATGGGATATCCATGCTTTTTTTACCATGGGACGGGGGGTTCTTCGTCGGTTTTGAGATGGTGATATTTATGTTGAAATGGGATGATAACTAAGCAATTAGCTACGGGATATAAACCAACAGACAATTCACCAGATAAGGTTTGTGGGGATAGACTGGGAATGTAACCAAAAATATGAAGATATGACTCACCAGCAATAATTGGATGTGTTTGTCAATATTGATGGTGAAATTCCATAGGGTGGGGGTATAATATGGTATTCAAGCATCAATATATCTCTGTCTATATTTAGGTATATAGCTGGGATATGCACGTAGGTAATGGAATTTAGCTAACCAGCAATCTGATCGAAGGAAGTTTAGAAGTCAAACTTCCGACAATATGGACAGATGAAAAGCAGAGCAGGGAAGAGGCAGAGAGAAGAGAAAGATTCGAAGAAAGAAGAATAGAAGAGAAAGAGTAAGAAGAAAGAAGATGCAGATGCGAGAAAAGGTACGAAAGTCGCGAAACACTGTGTTTTTCCAATGATTGGGGCTCCGGAGGGTCGAAAAGTAGGCTCGCTAAAGCGGCGGGTGCGGAGACAGCTGGCCAGTCTCATGAAAAATTGCACGCCGTTGTGGCGCGAAGCACATGTCGAAGTCAAAATGTACAAAACACACCAGGTGCGGTCCACTTTTGGCAGTTGAGATGTCGAAAAAGTGCACGCCGTTGTGGCGCGAAGCACATGTCGAAGTCAAAATGTACAAGACACCTCAGGCTCGGACCACTTTTGGAAGTTGAGATGTCGAAAAAGTGCACGCCGTTGTGGCGCGAAGCACATGTCGAAGTCAAAATGTACAAAACACACCAGGTGCGGACCACTTTTGGCAGTTGAGATGTCGAAAAAGTGCGCGCCGTTGTGGCGCGAAGCACATGTCGAAGTCAAAATGTACAAAACACACCACGTTCGGACCACTTTTGGAAGTTCCGATGTGGAAAAAGTGCACGCCGTTGCGGCGCGAAGCACGTTTCGAAGTCAAAATGTTAAAAACACCAGGGGTTCGGACCACTTTTGGAGGTTCAGATTTCGCTTCGCTTCACTACAATACACTACATTACATTACACTACACTCCACTACACTACACTTATTACATTACACTACACTACACTCCACAACACTACAACAATAACTACACAACTACACTCCACTACACTCCACTACACTACATTACACTACACTACACTCCACAACACTACAACTACAACTACACAACTCCACTACACTACACTCCACTACACTAAATTACACTACACTACATTACACTACACTCCACTACACTACATTACAACTACATTACAATTACAACTACACTGCACTACCTTCCACTACACTTCACTACATTACACTACACTACACTCCACTACAACTACAGCTACACAACTACACAACTACACTCCACTATACTCTACTACACTAAAGTACACTACACTACATTACACTACACTACACTCCACTACACTACATTACACCACACTACACTCCACAACACTACAGCTACAACTACACAACTACACTCCACTACACTCCACTACACTAAATTACACTACACTACATTACACTACACTCCACTACACTACTTTACACTACACTACACTACCTTCCACTACACTACAACTACAACTACAGAACTACACTCCACTACACTACAACTACAACTACAGAACTACACTCCACTACACACCACTACACTACACTACATTACACTACACTCCACTACACTACATTACACTACACTACACTACCTTCCGCTACACTTCACTACATTACACTACACTACACGCCACTACACTACACCTACACCTACGACTACACAACTACACTCCACTACACGAAATTACACTACACTACACTACATTCCACTACACTCCACTACACTTTACTACATTACACTACACTACATTATACCGAATTCCGCTGCACCACAGATAGACAGGTAGATAGACAGATAGATAGATAGATAGACAGATAGACAGGTAGACAGCTAGACAGATAGACAGATGAAAGAGAGAGATAGATAGATAGATAGATAGACAGATAGACAGATAGACAGATAGACAGATAGACAGATAGACAGATAGACAGACAGACAGATAGATAGATAGATAGGTAATTAGATGAAAGAGAGAGAGCGAGAGAGAGAGAGAGATAGATAGATAGATCGATAGATAGATAGATAGATACATAGAAGATAGGTAGGTAGGTAGGTAGGTAGGTAGAGAAAGACAGAGAAAGATAGGAGACCTCAAGCACCTTTCGGTCCATCAGTGGATTCGCTCTGCCATCCCGGATTCACAACAACCAATCTCTCCTATAGGTTTCCTATTTTTGAAACTTCCGCCACCGCCTTGTGTGGTACTACTGGTATTTGGTTAACTCTCCATTTGTGATGGAAAAATTCCACTAAGAAGTCGTTCGTCTTCGGAAAAAAATATAGAAATCAATTCTTGTTGGTTCACGACTGGACTGAATTAGTCTTGTACTTCTTCTAGTTTAGGATTTATCTCACCATCGCAACTGCAGGTGCTTCGCCATGTGGCAGCCTGGCCAGGAGGACCGGAACTGCATCACGGCGACGTAACAGGTCGAATTTTGCATTTAAACCACAAGAATAGTGAGATTTGAGTTACACCTGATTTGGGTTTGTTTATTTCGCAATTTTATTTGGTAAGTATAAAATGGAAGGGGATTGAAATTTGACAGGCTATCACATTAAAGACAATACAAGCGGTGTGATATAGTTGTTGAACCAGTGTTGTTCCTAGCTTTCCCCAATGCCTTTTCCCCTCAGTTACAGGACAAGCTGGTTGTATCCATGTCCACGGTGTCTTCGGTTCCGGCCATCTCCTCAGGGGTGTATTCCTGCATGGTTTGGAGCTGGGGTGGAATGGGACACTCAGATCTGAATGCAGGTTTTGGCAACTGATGGAGGACAGGTTTCATGCCGAGGCAAGTCTCTTACGCTTGCAGCATCTATCCTAATGCTTCACAGGTGGGCAGCTGGGGTTGTCCGTTTGGTTCCGGTTGCGAGGCAAAGTGGTTATAGCCATGTTTGATGTCAAACACATTTTGCTCGGATTGTCCTGTTGCAAGCGGACGGATTGCGAGAAGATCTCATGTCGGCGGAACCCTGCCCGTCAGTTCGCAAAAGTGCGTGGCCAGTGCTAGAAGCTTCAACCCTGCAGAACAGCTTTATTTGCAACAATGTGCCATATCAGGGGTAGACATGGAATTGCAAAAAATTGAGTCTTTTTAAATTGCAGTGGAAGTAATTCAAAGGCAAATCTTCTCTTTATAAGTGCCCCAGATAAGATGAACTTTTATTTCCAGGCGTGACAGGGTCAGATGACACCAGCTTTTACTGACATGGGCCACAAATTTGTACAGGTTTGCACTTTTGCGCTCATCAGAATAGATTGGCAGCCCCAACCATATGAAATAGTCCTGACTGACTCCAAGTTCAATCAAGGTGTCTGATGGTTTTTGCCAAATCCAGCAGGCTGCTGGAAGCCCAACAAGATCCTCGGCACATTCTGCTTCTGTGCCAGACCAATGTGGCAGTGGATGGAGTGCTGAAGACTTTGTTCCTGGACGACAGTGAGAAGCATTGGCCTTTATCCAAAACTATAAAGCATCTCCAGTGACTTCCAGAAATGATGTTGGGAACCATCCAAGAGCTGGAGGTTATTGATTGCTTTTGCCACATTATCTATGCTACTTGATCATTTGAACCGTCTGGTGTGTTTCGTCCACAATAGGTTGGCAGCAGCATTCTTGCCCTAACAGGGGACTCTCTAGACCTTCCGTTCTTGTAGGTTTGCCTAATCCAACCAATTTGCGCATTGCTTCCTCATTTCTTTAGGTCCACAGGGTACTGCTTAACAACAGGAAAGAAAAAAGCGGTTGGTTCCACTTTTCCCCATCACATGTATTTCAACGGTTGTTTCCCCTTTTCTATCGACCACTTGATTTGGTTGGTGCTTACCCTTTGGTAGCCACACATGGCAATGGAGGATCCATTCCCAGATGATTCTCCCGTACTGTACGAAAACTGCCCCATTCTTAGTGTTGTGCAGCCTCATTCTTCTTGGCTCGATCATGAACCATGTCCAATCCCCATGTTTGTACCTTTATAGCAACCACAAAAGATAGACAAGTAAAATACAAATCCTAGATTAGTAAGTACCAGTAGTACCGCACGAGGCGGTGGCGGAAGTTTCAACAATAGGAAACCTATAGAAAGGGTTGGTTGTTGTGACTCATGGATGGCAGAGCGAATCCACTGATGGACCGAAAGGTGGTTGGAGTTGTGTTTTCTGGAGTGGTTGCAATGGTTGCAGTGGTCACCTCACCTAGTACCTAGTGTAGTGTGGTATAGTGTAGTGTAGTGTAGTCTAGTGTAAGGTAATGTAGTTGTAGTTGTACGTAGTGTAGTGCAGTGTAGTGGTAGCTGTAGCTGTAGCTGTAGCTGTAGCTGTAGCGCAGCGCAGCGCAGTGCAGTGGAGTGTAGTGTAGTGTAGTATGTGTTAGTGCAGTGTAGGGTAGCGTAGTGTAGTGCAGTGTAGAGTAGTATGAGTTGTGTAGGGTAGTGTAGTGTAGCGCAATGCAGTGCGATGTAGTGCAATGTAGTGCAATGTTGCGCAATGTAGTGCAATGTAGTTGCAGTTGCAGCTGCAGTTGTAGTTGTAGCGCAATGCAATGTAGTCAGTGTAGTGTAGTGTTGTGTAATGTAGCATGGTTGTAGTTGTAGTTGTGATTGTAGTTGTAGTGTGCTGCAGTGTAATTAGTGTAGTGTAGTTGTAATTGTAGTTGCAGTTGTGGTAGTAGTAGTTATTCTAGTTGTTAGTGTAATTTGCGTAGTCTGGTGTAATTAGATGTAACTAGTGTAGTGTAGTGTAATTAGTGTATTGTAGCATAGTTGCAGGTGTTGTAGTTGTCATTGTCTGTCTATCTATCTATCTACCTATCTATCTACCTATCTATCTATCTATCTATCTGTTTGTCTGCCTGTCTGTCTGTCTACCCGCAAGCTTGAAAACGCAGCAATTCTGCGAGACTTCCTCGAGTTTTGAACTTGACAACGTCAAAAACCAAACAATTCTGCGAGACGTCCTCAATTTTTGAGCTTGACAACATCAAAAACGAAACAATTCTGCGAGACGTCCTCATTTGTTTAAGTTGACAACATCAAAAACGAAGCAATTCTGCGAGATGTCCTTCAAAAATGGAAAGTTGAGTGCAGAGCTGACGGCCTCGTGCCAATGCGTTTTGCGATTCCACCTGTCTAAACTACTGCGCCTGCCACGAAAAACATACGAAGTGCTGCACCTGTCACGCAAAATCATCTCAGCAAACCTGAAGATCTGATGCTCCAAACTGCAACCCTTCTCAGGAAATCAGCGCCCGGACCTCCTAACAGCTCTGATGAATATGTCTCTTGCACTGCGCCTGCCACGGAAAATGCATCTTTGCAGATCCTCTTCAAATGCCCCACGCCTGCCATCGTTTTTGGAAATGCTGCCACGCGAGACGACATCTGAACGTCAAAAGTGGTCCGAGCATGTGATGTTTTTAACATGTTTACTTCGAAATGTGCTTCGCGCCACAACGACGTGCACTTTTTCGACATCTCAACTTCCAAAAGTGGTCCGGACCTGGTGTGCTTTGTACATTTTGACTTCGAAATGTGCTTCGCGCCACAACGGCGTGCAATTTTTCATCTCTCATCTGGCCAGCTGGCTCCGCACCCGCCACGCTTTAGCGAGCCTACTGTTCGACCCTCCGGAGCCACAAATCATTGGAAAAACACAGTGTTTCGCGACTTTCCTACCTTTTCGCGCACCTGGATCTTCTTTCTTCTGAGACTTTCTCTTTTTGATCTTCTTTCTTCTTCTCTTCTCTTCTCTGACTCTTCCCATCTCTGCTTTTCATCTGCCCATATTGTCGGAAGTTTGACTTCTAAACTTCCTTCGATTAGTAAGTAACTAGCAGCAAAAGCCACCTATTTTCTATTCCGTTTCTTGGAGATTATCCCCATCCGCAGCAGCTCAGGCTGCAAGTGGGTTTCGATGACTTTGTCCGCCTAGGGAACTTCCAAACGATGCAGCCGCAGCTGTTGCACCGCGCTGCTGGCGCGGGGGGTTCCTCATGGAAGGCCACGGTGAAGGACGTGCTTGGGGGAAGGTGGGATACTTGGGATATTCATGGATTAGTGGGATTTGATGGAGATGTTTATAGGGATGTAACTGGAAACTGATGATCATGATACTTGTTGATTCTGGATTAATTTTCTGATGATATTCCATATTGGATATGTTTTGATCATTTAGGGTGTTCTGATGGTGATATTCAGATTTATCATGTTGATTGTCTTGATTGATGACCTTGGATCATCCTTGGCGATGAGATTATTGATGATGAACCTGGAGCATCCAAAGATCGGTGAGAAGTAGGGTAAATCAAACACGACGACTCGTAGGTAGATGGTTTTGCTAAATATTGCCAATGCTGGTTGGTGGTTTGGAACATGAATTTTATTTTCCATGTTTTGGGAATAATCATCCCAACTGACTAATATTTTTCGGAGGGGTTGAAACCACTAACCAGAATGGCGTTTGCTGATGTTCTTACTCAAACCATGAAGAAAAGGAAATTGCCAAACGTCAGAATGAATAAATTTGCCAGCTTTGAGGCTGAACACGCGCATTTGATTGCAATTCGTTATTTTGAATCATTCAAATATTGCGTCCCTCAAATCTGGGGTCCCATGTCATCGGAACTCCTTGAAGGATTTGAAAGATGCCTTGAAAAACTTGCAGCAGGACGGGTGACATGTGGCTGGGAGAAAGACCTGGCCCACAAAGAACTGGTTCCATGAAGAACTGGCGCTGGAGGTTTCTTGTTTTTTCCCAACCTGTTCGATTTGCATCCAGTAGTTGAACGTACTATGTCTCGCAAAGATGATGATCCCAAATCACTAAAACCTGAAACTCCCAAGCGGATAAACTGACGGAATTGGAAGCCCATGCTGGGACCTGGATTCCCGCTGGCCGTTTGATGAATTAAAGCCGATGTTACCCCCAGTGTTCGGAACCATCTGGATATGCAAAATAGCATACCAACCAGGCCCTCCATGCTGGGTGTGTTCCACTCTCACAGCATGTTTTGCGAAAGGACCTAGGGGTGAAATGATCTACGGACATTCAGGGTATGTAAATGATATTATTCCCCCCATCATGTAGGTACACTGTTTTACGCTCTGCTGGTTTCCTACTTGGTTCTCATCAGGTGGGCGATGCTGCTATTCAGGAGAAGGTGCAGGTCACTACGCTCAAATTCGTATGTTGTTTCTTCTGTTGTTTTGCTTTTGGGTTACAGTCAATATCAGATTTCAGAATGTCGACGCAGCATCAAACCTGACAGAAGGAGAAATATCATTGTCACAAAGCATCAAAGAAACACCATAAACTACCATAATTTACATCCATCAAACATCCATAAACTATTTAAGAAGCTACCATGGACCATGAAGTATGAAATGCCATAGGTCCTAGAGATGAGAAATGACTAGCTAAGGCCTTAGAGGCTGCAGTGGCCTCTGGTGACCTGCCTCCCAGGCGTAAAACCCATATGGGCAGAGACTGGGAATACCATGGGTTATATAAGTCCAACTTGATATGATATTTAGGTGTGTCTGAAAATTGGGTTGACCACCTAAATGACGATTGTATTAAGGATAATGATGATTAGCCAAATGGGGGAACCTATTTTGAGACAAACCCACATGGATATGAATGATGGATTGAAATCAATGTTCGCGATTTGAATGGATTTGCCGTTGCCGGATTACCAGAGGCTACATCTTTGGATGCTCTAGTAATGAGTATCAGTGAAAGTTCACGCCCTTGCCAGCTTCCCATGTCCACTATCGGGATAGTTTGGACAAAATATTATCTTTTTTGCCCAACTATGATTTTCAGGTTGATCACAGGGCCAGAGCAGGACATTACCGACATTCTAGTGATGTGGTAAGCCCCAAAAAACACGAGTTTGGAGCAGGGAAATGGTTCACAATACCGTCCAAATGGGACGGCATCGGTATAGTTTATGCTTTGGGGTTTATCACATCAGGATCGCTATTACCCTTGGACAGGTTGGGCAATAATGGCTAATTATCACCAGGCACTGGTGAATTCCTGCAGTCCGCGCAGTCAAAGCGTGGTTCATGTCCAGATTCTTGTTGATTAGATCAGTGTAGATCCCTTTTTAAGAAAACGAGATTGATGTATCATACTCATAGTCCCATAGTATCCCATAGTATCCCATAGTTATGTAGAAAAACCTGCCCAGAATTGATGCATCTGATGGATAGGTATCTCATCACCAACAAGCATATTATATGTTAAGACAAACAACAGTTAAAGTACCAGTTCCTGTGGCAAACTCTTTATAAACATTGATCGCATTAAACGATAAATCAGTGAATTCATGAAAGTAAGCCCAAAAATGATCATGAACCCAATTCATTTCAGGGAATCAATGGTTTATGGTTGAATCATGAGCTTCGAGCTTTAATACAGTACTAAAATCCCCATACCTAGTGTATGATATATATATATATAATTACATACATATACATTACATATATATATGCACCAGATAAGCGGACAATACCAAATGTGATATTGTAAATACTCACCAGCCCGCTGAAATCCCCATCGTTCACGATGCGAAGGCCACAGGAGTGGCGCCAGCGGCGCTTGGTGGCTGCCACCTCTGCAGCTCTGGAAACCGCTGACCTCGGCGACTTGGAAAAACATCCGACCGGGACTTTCCATGCTTCAACACGGGGGAATCATATGGTAAGTGTATAGTCTCTATATATATATATATTATTTTTTGATTTAGTTATTGATAATTATATATAGGTATGTTTACATATCTATATATATATATAGATATTCAATTTGTGTATATGATATGTATTTGGGGGTTGTTGCAAGAAGGGGCCCCCACACGAAAGATAGGTAAATTGGCAAACAGAACTGGGTGAAGCGTTCTATTTATGTTGGATTTACAGTTGGATGGGTGAAACCAAAACCATTAGATAATTGTGTCAGTTTTTATGCTTACCATGGTTTGCATGCAAACCAGATTTTGGGGCACCACCAATTACAACCTATGGCCCTATGGCTATCAAACAATCTGTGTATAAAAATCTATGTATACATGACTCGAGATTTGGTGCGTATCTATATATATATTATATACATATAATATATATATATACATATATATATACATGTGTAGTATAATATGGCGAGAGGTTGGAACCACCTACCTGCACGATCCTCTTTGTACATTATGTTTCTAAATATTTTGGAGGATTCATAGGGTGATGGTCATCCGCCCTGCACAGCGCCGCCGTTTTTATCACCATGTTCAGAAGAAAGTTGCTCATTTTGGGACATTAACTATATGTTAACAAACCCACATGGCAATTGGAAAATCAACACCTTATAGTGATTTTCCCATGAGAAAATGGGAGTTTTCCAGCCAGCTTAGATCGCACAGCCACGTTTCAGGTAGCCTCACAGCGCCCTTTTGCTTCGTGGACGAAGCCTCACAACTCACGGAACCTGCCATCCTCCACGCCTTCCGCAAGGCTGTCGAAGCTGGAAATGTTTCAGGGTAAGCTTCATCTCTATAATATATATATATATGTACACTATAGCTAAGATGAATGGCAGATTTTTGTTGAACTTTCTTGTTGCCAGGTTAGATCACCAGATGGCCTCTACAAACAAAATGATGGCATACAGGCATGTCTGAAAAATGGAGCGCCCCTGCACCTCAAATGGCCATATTCGGGAAAATTGGGATTCACCACGGCCAGGTTGGGATTTCCCCTAAATTTTCAGATATCAAACCCAAATCATATGGTTCTGTGGTTCTGTTTTCATGTTTTCCCGCATTTATCTTGGTGAAATCCCCCATTTTTCCGATGTTTGTCCCGTCCAGGTCTCTGCGCAATGTGCCGTGCTACTGGGGGATCCGAAACAACTGCCGCCTAGGGCCATGTGACTTGACGAGCTGAAGCCACAGCTTGATGATCGGATACAGCCACTGAAGGATGGGGGAAATGAGCTTTGAATCCATTGGAATTGAGGGGAAGACAGGGTCCCCCTGTCTTCAGACAAACCCTTAAATCTGTAAATCTGTTAGAATATGATATTAGAATATGATGAGTGCTCCTGATAGGAG